CTCGAACTCACAGAGATCCGCCTGGCTCTGCCTCCCGAGTGCTGGGATTAAAGGCGTGCGCCACCACCGCCCGGCTTTTTTTTAACTATTTTTTTAAAGATTTTATTTATTTATTATGTATACAGAAGAGGTTATCAGATCTCATTACAGATGGTTGTGAGCTACCATGTGGGTGCTGGGAATTGAACTCAGGACCTCTGGAAGAGCAGTCAGTGCTCTTAACCTCTGAGCCATCTCTCCAGTCCCCATTCTGCCTCTTCTTAACCTTTGTCTTATTGCCACCAAGCACCACGAATTTAAGGGTTGTCTTCAAACCAAACATCAGTTTATTATGCAGTCACAAAAACTCAGATTTTTTTTTTTACATGTACCCATTGTAGTTCAGGGAAGCAGATAGTGCTTTTGATCGCACAATAAAAATGATATTGGAGTGAAATTATAGTTCTCTGAGGCTAATTTGGGGGTGTGGTTTTAAGACTGTGTTTCCAGGCTGTGGACCTGGGGTTGAATAACTTGAGCTGGCATAGCACTGACCCCGGCGTGAAGTCTGAGCTGCTTTCCGGTCTTTTCTCTGCAGCAGCCCCCATTTGAACCTCAATTGCTATTCGCTGCCCTCTGGGCACTTGAATCTTTGTTAGTATGTTGCTCTGAGCTTCTTGGTGGGTTGCTCTATAAAAAGCATCTGCCATTATTTCTCTTCTGGGTGGGACTTCCCCCTCGGTTTATTCCATTCATTCTGCGCACAATCTCTCCACAAAAGCACTCGATGGAGGCCGCCGGCTGACATCCAGTCCTCGCCAATCTGACTAAAAGGCACACCTACAGAAACAAAGTCTTACACCCCTGAGGGCTTCTGGGCACTGCCGGGAAGATAGGCACTGTGACCCAGCACCTCTGAAAACTACCCCCGCTTGCTTTCATTATCTCAGCGGAGAGGAACGCAGGTTCAAATCCGAAACCCATTTCCGACGGAGCGAAGACGTGCTTGTTCGCTTAAATGGAGCCCGTGGGCCAGTGTTTTGTCAGCTCTGCTTTTCCAAGAACTTGGAGATAATGACTTCATTGCAAATTAACGTCCAGGGAATGGTCCGCTGCAAATAGCTGCCAGGGAATTCTGGGGGTCCTACCCCTCACACTGGCACGTGTCCTCAGTCAGCCCATTTGGCACGGACCACCATGCCCATGAGATAGGAGAGCTGTCTCCTAAAGCAAAAGGGCAAATTCCTGTCAGCATTCCTTGTGGTGTGAGGAATGACTTCTCCAAAGGAAGGAATTGAAATCATCCGACCAGCTCACTTCACCCAGAGTCTCAGTTTCCTGACATTCTGCAAGTTTTTCAGTGACACATTCTGTGGGCATGTGAACTGAGGAAGCTGGGTGCTGCCTTGAACCATGCTGTTGTAAACACCTGCCCAGAGAGCTAGTGCCCTGCATCAGTGAGACATTCCTGTGCATGTGCGTTGCTTTATTTTTTAATTACTGGTCTTTTGAGACAGGGTCTTACTATGTAACCTAGCTGGCCTTGAACTCACAATCTTCCTGCTTCGGCCTCCTCAGTTAAGAGATGACAGGCCTCCATCATCAGGCCTCCTTTTCCGTAAAGCATGGGCGAGCACAGAGCTTGCTTGACGGGCATCAGCTCAGGTAACTATATGACGAATGTAAACACAAACCTACCAAGAAAGGAGAGGATGAAAGAAGAAAGGAGGAAGGGAGGGAGAGAGGGAGAAGGGAGAAGGGAGGATGTGATAGAACGCTATGGGCTCCCCGCAGGTCACATCATCTGTGTATTTCTAGTCTGACTGGTGAGTCCTGTTTCTTCTCCGCACAATCGCGCTGAAGGAAGACTCTGATTATCCCTGAACCAGAACCCCAAATTTCAAACCCTCCACATCAGGGTTCTACTCTTGCCAAACAAAACACTTGTCAGGCCTTAAAGTGGCTTAAAATTAATTCCCCAGCTGCAGCTCTGATGTGCGGTCAGCGGTGTTCCTCGCGAAGGCTTGGGAAATTCCGTTCAAAGTCCCCAGATTCCTTTAGCTTTCCTTGGCATGTACAGCCTGTAGGATTTAATATGGCTTAATAGTTTCATTAAAAAAAAAAAAAAACTATTCAAAAGCCACAGGATGTTTGTTGTAACTGTGCCTTACTTAAAAATCACCAAAATTGCCTTTTTCCAGAGGCTTTGCTCATGGCTCCTAAGAACCCTCGGAAGCTCCGTGCTGTAATCAGCAGCACGCGGGGCCGTCACCTTCTGCACAATTCTACTTCCCTCTTCAAAT